GGCTCAGAGCATAGTGGTTAATCTTTAAACTTATTTCTGTTATTATAGTTTCCAGGTTCGTTCTTATTAACTCCTTTTCTGACTCGTCAGTAGTTACAAAAGGTCAGTCTAACAGTAACCTTGGGTGTGTGAGATGTGCCTTGGTTGAGATAGATGCCTTACACCTGAGTCTCAGAGGACCTCCTTAAGTAGGCCATCAGTACCATTCCCCTCTTACAGGGAGCGGTGAGGACACAGTGGCCTCCAGCACACACCGCCTGCCGGTGTTCAAACTACAGCGCAAGTTGGGCACCAGCATTTTCTCTAAAATAAATACCAAATCCCACACGTTGAATACCTTAGAAGCACTTCAAGGTTTACTCTATTAAAATAGGAAGGAGTAAAGAGTTTGCTAGTAGTCATTGCAACTGCCACAGTCAAGCTTTCACTCCAAAGTTTTAAATGGCGATGGCTGCCCACTTTTCAGATAAAACAGAGCATACACAATTTCTTGCAAAAGTGAACAAAACAAAAAAACGACAGTAGAAATCGCTCCTCCTAAAGTCAGTTACCCCTCCTTCCCAGTTTTCTAACCATTAACTGTCAGAGTCTTAGGATGGGTTTTCGCAGATGCTCATTTAAGGTTCACTTTTATAAAGATCTTGACTAGTGGCCACATTTGCACACATGGAGATAAGGACATCGACACAGCTGGGTGGATTGCGCTTGGGAAGGGGCTCTCATTATTCCCCCAGGACCTTAAGGCTCCAGTCACTAGTGCCCCGGGCCTGCGGCGTCGCTGAGGGGCGCGTCCCTAGGGTCTGAACAGGTGAGAAGGGGGAGACCAGGAGGGGAAGGGGGGATAGGACCGGGGTGGGTGGGTGGCTGTGAGGCGGAGAGGGGCGGGGCCCGGAGTAGCTGGGAGGAGGGGCGGGGCAGGGCCCCCGGCGAGGCCTGGGTAGAGTGTCGGGAACGCCATGAGGCCGGGGGCGCCCTGGACGAGCGACCTGGACGAGTCCCCAACTCTTTCCCGGTCGCTGACACGCGCTTCTTCTTCCGCGCTCCCGGGCGTCCGGACCGGAAGGTCCCAGCGGGTCCCCGCAAGTTCAGGATCCCCGCGAGTCCAGGTCCCTGCGAGTCCGGGTCTCCGCGAGTCCTGGGTCCGAGCAGTCTGGGGTCAGAGCGGTCTCGGTCCGAGTGGTGTCTCGGGGGCGGTGGCAGGTTGCTCCCGGGCGCACGGGCCGGACGGGCTCCGGGAGTAGTGGGGAGTCTTCTTGTGGGAAGATGAGGAAGCCCGACGGGAAGATCGTGCTTTTGGGGGACATGAACGTGGGAAAGACGTCGCTGCTGCAGAGGTATATGGAGCGGCGCTTCCCTGACACGGTCAGCACGGTAGGCGGCGCCTTCTACCTGAAGCAGTGGCGCTCTTTCAACATCTCCATTTGGGACACCGCAGGTAAGGACTGGCGCTGCCTGGGCCCACACTGCCCTGGAGCTCCGCAGGGCGGGGGTGTGGAGGTGGGGGCTTCCCGCCGGAGAGTAGCGTCCTCCAAGGCAGGGTCCTCTGAGGCAGGGTCCCCCGGGGCACGTTTCCCCCAGGACCGGGGTCCCGCAGGGCAGGGTTCTCCAGGGCAGGCGTCCCCTGCAGCGCACAGGGTCCCCCCGCCACCCCCGTCCCACAACAGGTGACCCCATCTCAGGAATCAGGCCGCCAGTCACAGTGTTCGGCCACCCTTGACCCTTCTCTGTTCTCACTTGTTCTTCTCTTCTGGTTGGGAAACACTGTTCAGCCACTCGTGCGTTTAGTGACAAGCCGGGTGACACTTTTCCGGTGACGCTTTAAAAGTACCCCTGGCTCTAAAGAGAGGACCTGTGTCACGTATGTTCCCTATGACAGTATCTGGCTCCAGAGTGCCACAGTCCTGCGCAGTAGGTAACCAGACTCGTTTGAGTACTCTCACAAACATAATCTCATTTGATATCCATAACAACCTTGAGGGGTGAGCAAAGCTAGTATAATTGCCCCCTTTTTTTATAAAAGAGGAAACAGGCACAGAGCCTTTCCCTGCAAGGTTTGGTCAGGAAAGTAAGAAACAACTCAAGTCTCTCCTCTCTTAGTCCCTACCACATCCACATTTTCCAGTTTCTTTATCATCTGCTTGATCTCAGCTAATATACATTATGGGGGTTTGAAGTAATTTTCTGTAGAAGTGTTTTTATGATAGGTAATGTATTATTTTTAGTGTGTAGTATTTTGATTTTTCAAAAGTATAACTTAGAAGATCCTGATTCAAGCTTTCAGTTTAACTGCAAAATTACACTGGCAATTATAGTGTTACAATAGAATATAAAGAAGGAAATATATTTCCTTCCCAATGAAAAAGAATAAGATACTGTAAGTAAACAAAGAAACTGTAGGGCACATTTTCTTTCTTTTAAAAAAAAATTAATTTATTTTTTGTGAAGTAAACATTTTTTGAATTAGTTTCAGCTGTACAACACAGTGCAATAGTTATACTTTTGACCCCTCAAAGTGACAACCCCCTTCCCCCAACCCACTGTCCCCCCCATATCATACATATCTATTACAATTCCCTTGACTCCACTCCCACACTATACTCCACGTCCAACTATATATATATATATATATATATATATATATATATATTCAATTATAGTTGACATACAATATTATACAACATCAGCTTCAGGTGGACAGTGCAGTGATCAAACCTCTCTACCCCATTCATGAAGTGGTCTCCCTAACAAGACATGTGATCGTCTGACACCCTACAAAATATTTACAACATTATTAATTATATTTCCCGAGCTGTCTTTCATATTGTAGGGCTCATTTTCAATGAGCGTGACTTTTTAGAGGCCTGAAACTTTAAGGTCTGACCTTTTTGTCAGCACTTTAAAAATAATATAGATACCCACCGATCCTATCTAGAATTTTTAAATTGCCAGCTTGGGTGCACCAGTCTGCTAGATAAGCAAGATTTTAACTAATTCTCTATTTAAAACTGAATTAATGAAGTCCATTGAAATACATCTACTCCTCCTTCATCCTTTTTTTTTTTATTGCTGTCTTTTTGTTATGGCAGTTAATGTCTTGATTAACTTATTTGCAATCATGCTGTGAAGACAGCATCTTCAAGGTACCGAATGAACCCTTCCCTGGTCTTTTCTCTAGCTCTAGGCTGCAAAGTGAGGTTTCTCTAAGATACTTGACTGCTTAAGCTGACTGTCTAGCACTAAGCATTGGGCGATGATGGAACACAAACTCTAGAAGTCAAATGAAGTCAAATGAACACGACTTGTTTGCTTGTTTTGGAAAAGCTGGGCCTTTTGCTTTTTTTGTTGACTAGACTTAACTGCTGGCCTTGTTTAACAAGAGGATAATGCAGAGCTCGCATTGAGGGACCCAAAGGGAGAACCCTGAGAACCTCATGGCTGCCCTGAGAACCTGCTCTTACCATGAGGTGTGGTGTTTCTGGAACAGGAGCTGACCTTAGTTGTCAGAGCAGGCATCTCCAGTAGTTAGGGTATGAAGTAGCAGTGTAATTTCAAATAGCCACTTTCGTTTTCAGTGACAAGGCCACGATGCAGCCGGAATCTTAATCACCAGAGGATTTTGTAATACAGATGATGAGATGTCCCTGATACGTTGTTAAGGCTTCCGGTGTGTGTGTGGGGGGGTGGGGGGGTGGCGACTCATTTCCTGCCTGCCTAAGCTGCAGCCTTTTTGTTCCTGGAACCCCAAGTATGAGCTCAGGCTCCCAGTGGCCATGGGGGGTGGGGCAGATCCTTTCTCCACATGCCAACCTCCTGTGTACACATGCTCAGGGTGACCGAGGCTCAGGGTCAACAGTCACACAGGTTACCTCTGTGACTGACTTCCCGGTGACTGTGGGGTTACGGGCCACTTGGAGGAAAAGGAGAGCTATGAATAGATACCTTTTCGCTAATACTGTTGGATAGTCAAAAGTTTATCTTTTAAGGGATCCTACTTTTTCCCTCCTTTTGTCTTGCTCTAAACTTTCTTTCTAGTCCACAGACATTGTTTTTTAAGTTGTGTTCATTTTCATTTTCATAACCAAGGCAGTCGGATGAGGACCAGCTAGAACGCAATCATTGTTAATGCTGCTCTTAGTCACACGGGTGGGTGGGGTGAGAGTGTGGGAATGTGGAGGGTGCTAGGATGTTTAATTGTAAAAATGGTAGTAAGGGGTCAGAGTTTTTGTTTTGCTTTTGGCATGTCCTTTCAAAAAGCAAAGTACTGGAAGCCTGCAGGGCAGAGTGGTGGGTGGAGCTGGAGAGGGGAGGAAATTTGCTAGGTTGGTAAGTAGGATCTTATTCATTTGACACAAGATTCCTTCAGAGGGAGGTGTGGACAGTTTGCAGGTTAAAGATGGGGAACCGGAGCCGGTAGAAGGTGAGTGGAATTCAGACTTCGTTTGTCCAGGTGCAGCCCGTCTCTTTCCATTGTACCTTCGTGGCTCCAACCCTTGCCTAGTTGGGCAGTCGGATGTGAGGCAGTCACCACATATGGTTTGGTACGTCCCAGAAATAAAAAGAGGTTGCCCAGAGATGAGACAGAACCCCAAAAGAACTTACCACCACCTCCTCTTTGGTTGATCTGAGCAGTCTAAAAAGATGTCTATTGTTCAGTAAATGTAAACTGAGGCACTACTGTGCACCCGCCAGGCACTGTTCCAGGCCCCATTCTGCAGCAGTGAACAAGCTAGACGGGGTTGCTGCTCCCTTGCCTTTAAATTCCAGAGGAGGGAGAGAGGCCAACAAAGAAATAAGTTGTGTAATTTCACATCTGATCATTGTACAGGAAGGTGATGCGAAAGTGGCAGTGTGCCTTAATAGACCTCATCCCCAGAGGCTAAAAAGCTTGATGCCCCCTCCGCATTTATCCCTCATTCCTCAAGGTGGTAGCCGCTCGAAGGTGGGACGATGTGACTCACGTTTGCATTCATGTTTCATGAAGACCATTTTCTGACACTTTCAGTAGTAACACGTTCCTCATTTCCATCTGAGCCCTCGCTGGCTTCACACCCATATTTCTCCCTGTAAGTCTGTTCGTGCTGATTGTGGTATTCTGTGAGATGATACAGGTTTTCATGTATCAGCCTCATGAGCAGCCTTGTTAACATCCGTATTTCTAACAGTCAATTCAAGGCAATATAGTCTCTTCTTATTATGCTTCTCTAATTCTTCCGGCCTCTCTGCCCTTTGCCCAATTCCAAAGGCACTTCCACGTTCATTATGGCAGCACCCCACTCCCAGTAGCAAAATCTGTTTTAGTTTCCTATTGCTGCTGTAACAAATACCACAAGCATAGTGGCTTAATAAAAAAGCCAGGTCAGAAGTCCTAAATGGGCCTCACCAGGCAAAAATCAAGGTGTCCCCAGGACTAGACTCTTTTTTGGAGGCTCTAGGGAAGAATCTGTTTCCATGCTTTTCCCATGTTCTGTAGCCTGCCCGCAACTCGTGGTTTCTTCATCTTCTATCTTCAAAGCCAGCAGTGGCTGGTGGAGTCTTTCTCTCATCATATCGTTTGGACCCTGACTGTCATGCCTCTCTTCCCACATTTAAAAGACCCCTTTGATTACACTGGGTTTATCCTGGTAATCCAGGATAATCTTGTTTTAAGGTCAGCTGGTTAGCAATTTTAATTTGTCTGCAACCTTAGTCCCCCCTTGCCATGTACCAGTACATTCACAGGCTCCAGGGATTGACGTCTTTGGGGGGAGGGGAGTCCTTGTTCTGCTGACCAGAGACATTGACCACATGTGTGAGTTTTGGGTTGTGTCACCTCTCTCCACCTCATTTTCCTTATCTATAAACTGGGGACAATTGTAGCACTTACCCGGAGTGGTAGTGTTCAGAATCAATGAGTTAATATTGGCAAAGGGCTCCGGAACAGCATTTGGAATGAGGAAGTGCGTTGTTTTAGTGTTTGCTAAATAAACAATCGTCCCCTGGCCCCGAGTAATTAGGACAAGGAGTGCCACCAGCAAGCATGTCACACAGGGAACAGAGGCTTGGGTGGCCCCCTAATAAATAACTCTGCGATAAATGGAGAGGGGAAATTCAGAGCAGTTGGTTTAAGATCTTTCTCTTGGACAGCTTTAGTGCAACCGGGGAGAGGATGCTGGAGTTCCAGGTTATGAAATCATGGTGCCTGGACGAGGGAGAGTATAATTGCTCATACCTGTGAAGTTTGCGGAGAGGACTTGGCTGCCTGTGGCAGCACCGAGGGCCTCAGTTATGTGAATGGCTGTGCTGTCCCGCGGGGGGCATCTGTGAAGGATGGGGTGACACACAAGTGAAGATGCCAGGTGAGACGAACTGTCCATGTGAGGACCGTGTACCCGCCATCACTCTCGCTTCCACTCTGCACAGAAGCCACAGCCCCCAACCCCACATGTAGGCAGCTGC